GTCCCTTGGTAGAGCGTATTCAATTCTATAACTTTTCCCATTCACAAGCATTTAATTCGGGATGTTGTCATACTCTCTCTTTCTCTCTCCACCTGTACCTCTAACAAATAAGACCACATACGCAGTGAAAAAAATCATATAACATAACTTTGTTATTTTAATATTAGTGAGGGGTAAATTTTCTTTTAATTATTAATTTACGTGATTGAATCAGCAATTCGAATCTCTCAAATCAGAATGCCAATTCCACGATGGAGAGTTCTTACAACTAATTTTTTATTTATTTATTATAAACAAACATGATTTTAGTAAAGACTTACGGATTGCTAAATAATTTCCTTCTTAAATCTCCAATCACATGACCTGTAAGGTCTAAATTTAATTTCATGGATTGGTTGTTTCTACATGGATTGAAGAATCGACTTTGGATAGGTCATGAAAAGGTCAGAAGTTTGGCTTTTCTGTAGGTAATATATTGCACTGAATTTTTGAAACAAATCACAAATGTAAAAACAGAGGAGCCTAGTGGTAACCCTACCCATACCAAGTTTTTTAAAAAGGTCCCTGACCACATGCCCCAGATTTTAGGGGAAGCCGAGGTGCCTTGCTGAGGAGGGTAAAATCACTTATGATCTCATTTGGGATAGTGGAAATTAATTTTAGGCCAAATTCACTTTATTTATTTAAGGCCAAATTTTAGGCCTCAGAGCATTTTTTTTATCCCAAAAAAAAAAAAAAAAAAAAAAACTATGTTTTGAGTCCTAAAAAATAGACAAAAGTATATATGGTTGTTATGTATAAGAATATTTTAGTGTTACTCCAGCAATTAATTGTTCAAACAGTTCACCTTGATACAACATAAACTATTTTTTTAAATGTTAGAATAATAAAGCGCACATAAAAAGAATCAATACACACCATGTCTGAATTTTTTCTCGACCGTTGGAGGCATTGTCGAAAAAAACTATAGGCCAAAAACCCTAAGAAGTTAAGCTCATACCTATTGCTGCACTTATGTACTTACTCTCTGTTATACACACACATCAATTTTATGCATTATGAAAACATACAGATGTGTACACTTATTATGCATATGTGGACATTTAAACATACACAAACACCAACACTGAAGTTCATGCACAAGTTTCTCAAAGATGACTGTGAAGCAATGATTAATTTATCAGTTTGGATGATGAGAAACACAGGAAAGAATATGAGAAGTTGGAAACTTGAAAGTTTGTAAACAATTGGGTTTTGCAATGATTGTTTGAGATTTCCATGGTTTATTTAATAACTGTAGAGGATATCTCATCCTCTTTCCAATTTGGGTTTGCAATGACCTCTTTTTTTTTTCCTCAGGAATCAACTATTTGTGAATGTCTGATTGATGATGTCAATAGTTCGATATTCTTCCATACTTCTGGAAGTTTTTTTCTATTTTTGTTTTTTTTCTAATTTATATGCAGGCTATTAGCCCGTGAAGGAATCAATGCGAGCAGTTTGCTCGGGATCTTAAATCTTTTGAATTAAAGGTTATTCTTTCATATCTTCAACTTGATGCATAATTTGTTCTTCTCATTGACTGGCCACTTATGATATTTATCTTAGAGTAATTCAATAGCTTGGTTAAGTTGAAATTCTGTATCAAGTGAATCTATTCGTACCAGGGATTTCCAGAATTTTGTCCTCTTTTTTTATTTCTTTTTTTTTATTTTTTATTTTTCACTTAGTATTGTTTATTTATTTATTTTTTATCCATCCTCTCATATTTTAACTTTCTTCTTCAAGTATGACTTTTGAAGATGTGTTCCCTTGCTGAGGCAACAATCGTGGAAGAGTATCTGCAACAGGTAACTTTCATTCATTTGTTGCTTATTGACAACATAATGTCAAAGTATTGATACTCTAGCGCTTGCTTTCTTGCATTGTTGTGTGTAAAATTTTTGCTCACATTGATCGACGGAAGAAGATTGAAAAATTTTGGTTTATATTGCAATACAGAGAAATAGTATTTCCTTCCCATTCACTTTGTTGTGTGCCATGCCCTGGAATACCAATATAGCAGTTATTGTGCATTACAAAGACAATAAAGTAGTTTTAACTTTGGTTGTCATTTTATATGTTTATTGTTTTTCTAAAAGCCATCATTTGGAGCTTAGTATTTTTTTATTTTTTTGAAAGACTGAAAAGTATAAAATATGTATGTATGCATATAAAATTTGTACATCAAAGTAGTTAGGTAGTGTCAAGACCCAGGATGAACTTTGTGATTGGTGTTTTCCATGATAAATTGTTCTATTTAAGCATTCTATATCTTTATGAACACTATTGTTTTTATTTAGTCACAGAATGTTATAGGTGAACTATGAAGCAAATGGTGGGTTGCACATCAGGTGTCAGATATATGGGCAAAAACATCTCCTGACTAGCAGGCTATTTGGGCTTTATGGCAAATGGGTGGAGCATGGCTTTGTACTCATCTATGGGAGCATTATACTTGTACTATGGACAAAGTAAGATTTGCTGTAACCTATAATGGGGAGCATTATACTTATTACTTGCTGGGCTGTTGCTGCTGTAATGTTGCTGTGAGGCAGGCTGCTACTAGAGTTGGTCTGCTGGATAAGTTTGTGGGTGATTTCATGCCGTTCTTCCTGTCTTTGTTAGTTTCATGTTTTCATTTTGTTATCGGTTTGTTTCTAATGTGGGTTTCACAATTTGGATGTATTTGGGTATTTTAATGACTTTACCGTTTTTAGTTTTATACATTGCTTTTAAAGCAGATATTAGTAGTGTTTTTTTTGCTTGCACATTAACTTTAGGTGATTTCATATCAATGTTATTAGTTTGTAATAGTGGTGCCTAAGGGATGCCTCTTGTAAAAATCTGTAATCTTATAAAAATATATAAATTATTTTCAATTATTTTTGTTAGTAAATGTGTCACCCAAAAGTTTATTTTTGCCCACCATATTGTATTGCTAGAAGTGTATTTTTTGTCAATGCAATTTGTCGTTGTCAAAAGTAAACATTTATCGAACAAATCGTCGGCAAATGGCAATATTTAACGGCGTAAATATGTTGCAAAAGTTTACTTTTGCCCACACATATTGAGTTGCTAAATGTGTATTTTTTGCCAATGTTAATTTGTCATGCCAAAAGTGAAGTTTTATCGGCAAACAAATCATAGGCAAATGACAAACATTTTACGACGTAAATGGTCGCCAAAAGTTTATTTTTTGCCGACGTATATTTTGTTGCTGAAAGTATATTTTTTGCCCACGCAAATTTGTGTCGCGAAAAGTGCACACAATCATCATCTTTGAAATGACTTTACCGACGCAAGGTAATTGCTGACGATGGAATGAAGCTTTTATCGACGATTGTGTTCGTCGCTAAAAGGTATTACTTTCTTACCACGCAATGATAATTTCGTCGGCAAAAACTTTTGCCGACTCGCTTTTGCCTACGGGTTGCCAACGTAGCTTGGTGTGTCAGTAAAACTCTTTGCCGACAAATTTTCCCTTTTAGCGAGTATGAAAAATGCAATTTCTTGTAGTGTACCAATAACCAGCCGATGGCCCCATCTTTGTCGATGACCATCCTTCTATGGTTCGGTACACCTGTCTCTTGGCCGGTGACCTCCCACAATGCTCAGGGTGGTTAGAAGCAGCCTTGGGAACTTGTACAGCTTTCAGAGGCTGAAACAGTGCAACAGACGGCAACAGTTGGCATGGCAACGGGTTCCGGCGAGGTGAATCGAGCATACATATACCAATTATTTCGAGCGAGCTGCGGCTGCTCTTTTATTTCATACTTGGATTGTTTTGTAATTAATTTCATTAATTAATTAAGGGTTTTGTAATATTTAATTAGCTAGGGTAGTGATTATTATTCGGTCTGTATTATTTATTCGGACCCTCCGTCAGAGGGCGAATTTATAATAAGTGTGCGTGCAAGTGTGAATGTCTTCCAACCCACGCCTTCTCCTTTTATTTATTAGGCTTTTGATGGTTAGTTTTAGGGCATGCTTCAATTAGAATACTTATGCTCGCATGTGTTTGCATCATTCATCTGATTACATGCACCGGGCTCGGCGGCATCATGCTAATGCCTTGTATTTCAATTCCAAGTTGAATACATGTATTGAAGTTGTCGCATCTCATATGCCATTCTTTAGGGGTAGCTAAGCCTATTTTAGTTGCCATTTGGCATGCGTGCATTAGCTATCTTAACATGAAACTAGGATCATGCATGATTACTAACTAGTTTCTTGTTTTGGCTCGGAGTACACTGTAAGTGTTTATGTTTTAGCATATTGCATGTATGTGAGTACTAACATGACCAGCATGCTTTCCATGAGGCTAATTGCTTATGTGATATACTGCCGTGAATGCCTGTGGGTGAAGGTTGGATTGCTTGAATTGGAATAATTCGTCGAAATCCGTGTTTTAGCCTACTTGCAGCAGCAAAGCTTCAAACCGTCTTTAAACAAACGGATGATGCGAATACTTTGTTCCAAATTAGGCAATCTAGTCATACTTGTGTGTTGTGCGCATCACATAGTAATTCTAGTTAATTAACCCGAATAAGAATGCATATGTTTTCAAAAACTCGATATTATGTTTTGTAGTGGCCGATCTTGATCGGGAGCGGGGTGTGCTCATTGCATGACCTCCCCAATCGTACCCGAAGCCGATGGCAAACTTTGTGATGACGGACACGTGGCCTTAGCACGATGTAGGGTTTTTCTAAATTCACCCCAAAATAAAAATATTAGGGTGCAGACTCTTGGTATTCGGTGGCAACAGCAGCCGATGTTTGGCCACTTCTTTGCAAAAATCATTTTGTCAAAACGGATTTGCCGGATTTGAGACTTCTGTCGGTGATTTATGATCTGCATGCACTTTGTGAGATTAGATTCAGAACCGTGACATCGAAGTCCGACTGTATTGAGGCCAATGAACAAAACGAGATTTCTCTCGGACATTCGGGGAGTCTACAGTCTCAGTTGGGTAATGAAACGGAGAGTGTTAGCTTTGATATTCGACCTTCAGATGCCATTAACATTGCAGTAATATGCAAGGTACTTTTGCTCATTTTGAAGATTGTTGCTGCTTTGGTGGATTTTTGTGGTTGTTTATCGTCATGTAGTCCTCTTATCTAACGTAGTTTTAATCACTGCTCTCTCACTAGATAGCATTATATAATGGTGTTGGATAAACATAATGTTATTTGCATGCAAAACTGATAGCTGAGTAATACTGTGAGATGCAACAAAGTGTACAATGAAATAGAAAAGAAAATGACTTCTGGGAAGGGTTTGTGTATTGGGGGTGATGATGACTCAAAAATGAGTGACGAAACAAAAGAAGAAATGGCAAAGAAAATTGGGAAATAAGGAAGGAAAATAGAGGATAGTGTCCCCCAAGTTTAGGTTGGTTTGTGGACCCCATTTTGAAATTAATGTTTGGGGGATTGGTGAACTGCCACAGTTCTTTCAAAGGAGAAGTTATTTGTTCTCGGGACATCGTTATGTGGTATTTTAATAATATTGTGATTGGTAAAAATAATAGAATTTATGAATTTATATTAAATAATTAAAAAATATAAATAAATATGATAAATTATGATTAAAAGTAATAATTTTTCCTTTCAAAGAGTCCCACAACATGGAAGCTTGTCCCTTGGTAGAGCGTATTCAATTCTATACTTTTCCCATTCACAAGCATTTAATTCGGGATGTTGTCATACTCTCTCTTTCTCTCTCCACCTGTACCTCTAACACAATAAAGACCACATACGCAGTGAAAAAAAATGCATATAACATAACTTTGTTATTTTAATATAGTGAGGGGTAAAATTTTCTTTTAATTATTAATTTACGTGATTGAATCAGCAATTCGAATCTCTCAAATCAGAATGCCAATTCCACGATGGAGGAGTCTTACAACTAATTTTTTATTTATTTATTATAAACAAACATGATTTTAGTAAGACTTACGGATTGCTAAATTAATTTCCTTCTTAAATCTCCAATCAAACATGACCTGTAAGGTCTAAATTTAATTTCATGGATTGGTTGTTTCTACATGGATTGGAAGAATCGACTTTGGATAGGTCATGAAAAGGTCAGAAGTTTGCTTTTCTGTAGGTAATATATTGCACTGAATTTTTGAAACAAATCACAAATGGTAAAAACAGAGGAGCCTAGTGGTAACCCTACCCATACCAAGTTTTTAAAAAGGTCCCTGACCACATGCCCCAGATTTTAGGGGAAGCCGAGGTGCCTTGCTGAGGAGGTAAAATCACTTATGATCTCATTTGGGATAGGTGGAAATTAATTTTAGGCCAAATTTCACTTTATTTATTTAGGCCAAATTTTAGGCCTCAGAGCATTTTTTTTTATCCCAAAAAAAAAAAAAAACTATGTTTTGAGTCCTAAAAAATATGACAAAAGTATATATGGTTGTTTATGTATAAGAATATTTTAGTGGTTTTACTCCAGCAATTAATTGTTCAAACAGTTCACCTTGATACATACATAAACTATTTTTTTAAATGTTAGAATAATAAAGCGCACATAAAAAGAATCAATACAACCCATGTCTGAATTTTTTCTCGACCGTTGGAGGCATTGTCGAAAAAGCTATAGGCAAAAACCCTAAGAAGTTAAGCTCATAACCTATTGCTGCCACTATGTACTTATCTCTCTGTTATACACACACATCAATTTTATGCATTATGAAAATACATACAGATGTGTACACTTATTATGCATATGTGGACATTTAAACATACACAAACACCAACACTGAAGTTCATGCACAAGTTTCTCAAGATGACTGTGAAGCAATGATAATTTATCAGTTTGGATGATGAGAAAACACAGGAAAGAATATGAGAAGTTGGAACTTGAAAGTTTGTAACAAATTGGGTTTGCAATGATTGTTTTGAGATTCCATGGTTTATTTAATAACTGTAGAGGATATCTCATCCTCTTTTCCAATTTGGGTTTGCAATGACCTCTTTTTTGGTTTTCCTCAGGAATCAACTATTTGTGAATGTCTGATTGATGATTGTCAATAGTTCGATATTCTTCCATACTTCTGAAGTTTTTTTCTATTTTTTGTTTTTTTCTAATTTATATGCAGGCTATTAGCCCGTGAAGGAATCAATGCAGAGCAGTTTGCTCAGGATCTTAAATCTTTTGAATTAAAGGTTATTCTTTCATATCTTCAACTTGATGCATAATTTGTTCTTCTCATTGACTGCCACTTATGATATTTATCTTAGAGTAATTCAATAGCTTGGTTAAGTTGAAATTCTGTATCAAGTGAATCTATTCGTACCAGGGATTTCCAGAATTTTGTCCTCTTTTTTTATTTCTTTTTTTTTATTTTTTATTTTTCACTTAGTATTGTTTATTTATTTATTTTTTATCCATCCTCTCATATTTTAACTTTCTTCTTCAAGATGACTTTTGAAGATGTGTTCCCTGCTGAGGCAACAATCGTGGAAGAGTATCTGCAACAGGTAACTTTCATTCATTTTGTTGCTTATTGACAACATAATGTCAAAATATTGATACTCTAGCGCTTGCTTTCTTGCATTGTTGTGTGTAAATTTTTGCTCACATTGATCGACGGAAAGAAGATTGAAAATTTTGGTTTATATTGCAATACAGAGAAAATAGTATTTCCTTCCCATTCACTTTGTTGTGTGCCATGCCCTGGAATACCAATATAGCAGTTATTGTGCATTACAAAGACAAATAAAGTAGTTTTAACTTTGGTTGTCATTTATATGTTTATTTGTTTTTCTACAAGCCATCATTTGGAGCTTAGTATTTTTTATTTTTTTTGAAAGACTGAATAAGTATAAAATATGTATGTATGCATATAAAATTTGTACATCAAAGTAGTTAGGTAGGTCAAGACCCAGGATGAACTTTGTGATTGGTGTTTTCCATGATAAATTGTTCTATTTAAGCATTCTATATTCTTTATGAACACTATTGTTTTTATTTAGTCACAGAATGTTATAGGTGAACTATGAAGCAAATGGTTGGGTTGCACATCAGGTGTCAGATATATGGGCAAAAACATCTCCTGACTAAGGTCAGGCTATTTGGGCTTTATGGCAAATGGGTGGAGCATGGCTTTGTACTCATCTATGGGAGCATTATACTTGTACTATGGACAAAGTAAGATTTGCTTATACCTATAATGGGAGCATTATACTTATACTTGCTGGGCTGTTGCTGCTGTAATGTTGCTGTGAGGCAGCTGCTACTAGATGTTGGTCTGCTGGATAAGTTTGTGGGTGATTTTCATGCCGTTCTTCCTGTCTTTGTTAGTTTCATGTTTTCATTTTGTTATCGGTTGTTTCTAATGTGGGTTCACAATTTGGATGTATTTGGGTATTTTAATGACTTTACCGTTTTAGGTTTTATACATTGCTTTTAAAAGCAGTATTAGTAGTGTTTTTTTTGCTTGCACATTAACTTTAGGTGATTTCATATCAATGTTATTAGTTTGTAATAGTGGTGCCTAAGGGATGCCTCTTGTAAATCTGTAAATCTTATAAAAATATATAAATTATTTTCAATTATTTTTGTTAGTAAATGTGTCACCAAAAGTTTATTTTTGCCCACTCATATTGTATTGCTAGAAGTGTATTTTTTGTCAATGCCAATTTGTCGTTGTCAAAAGTAAACATTTATCGACAAACAAATCGTCGGCAAATGGCAATATTTAACGGCGTAAATATGTTGCCAAAAGTTTACTTTTGCCCACACATATTGAGTTGCTAAATGTGTATTTTTTGCCAATGTTAATTTGTCATTGCCAAAAGTGAAGTTTTATCGGCAAACAAATCATAGGCAAATGACAACATTTACCGACGTAAATGTGTCGCCAAAAGTTTATTTTTGCCGACGTATATTTTGTTGCTGAAAGTATATTTTTTGCCCACGCAAATTTGTGTCGCGAAAAGTGCTACACAATCATCATCTTTGAATGACTTTTACCGACGCAAGGTAAATTGCTGACGATGGATGAAGGCTTTTATCGACGATTGTGTTCGTCGCTAAAGGTATTACTTTTACCAACGCAATGATAATTTCGTCGGCAAAAACTTTTGCCGACTCGCTTTTGCCTACGGGTTGCCAACGTAGCTTGGTGTGTCAGTAAAACTCTTTGCCGACAAATTTTCCCTTTTAGCAGTTATGAAAAATGCAATTTCTTGTAGTGTACCAATAACCAGCCGATGGCCCCATCTTTGGTCGATGACCATCCTTCTATGGTTGGTACACCTGTCTCTTGGCCGGTGACCTCCCACAATGCTCAGGGAGTGGTTTAGAAGCAGCCTTGGGACTTGTACAGCTTTCAGAGGCATGAAACAGTGCAAACAGAGGCAACAGTTGGCATGGCAACGGGTTTCCGAGCGAGGTGAATCGAGCATACATAATCCAATTATTTCGAGGCGGAGCTGCGGCTGCCTCTTTTATTTCATACTTGGATTGTTTTGTAATTAATTTCATTAATTAATTAAGGGTTTTGTAATATTTAATTAGCTAGGGTAGTTGATTAATTATTCGGTCTGTATTATTTATTCGGACCCTCCGTCAAGAGGGCGAATTTATAATAAGTGTGCGTGCAAGTGTGAATGTCTTCCAACCCCACGCCTTTCTCCCTTTTATTTATTAGCTTTTGATGGTTAGTTTAGGGCATGCTTCAATTAGAATACTTATGCTCGCATGTTTGCATCATTCATCTGTATTACATGCACCGGGCTCGGCGCATCATGCTAATTGCCTTGTATTTCAATTCCAAGTTGAATACATGTATTGAATTGTCGCATCTCATATGCCATTTTTAGGGTAGCTAAGCCTATTTTAGTTGCATTTTGCATGCGTTGCATTAGCTATCTTAACATGAACTAGGATCATGCATGATTACTAACTAGTTTCTTGTTTTGGCTCGGAGTACACTGTAAGTGTTTATGTTTTAGCATATTGCATGTATGTGAGTACTAACATGACAGCATGCTTTCCATGAGGCTAATTGCTTATGTGATATAACTGCCTGAATGCCTGTGGGTGAAGGTTGGATTGCTTGAATTGGAATAATTCGTCGAAATCCGTGTTTTAGCCTACTTGCAAGCAGCAAAGCTTCAAACCGTCTTTAAACAAACGGATATGCGATACTTTGTTCCAAATTAGGCAATCTAGTCCATACTTGTGTGTTGTGCGCATCACATAGTAATTCTAGTTAATTAACCCGAATAAGAATGCATATGTTTTCAAAAACTCGATATCATGTTTTGTAGTGGCCGATCTTTGATCGGGCGAGCGGGGGTGCTCATTGCATGACCTTCCCCAATCGTACCCGAGCCGAGGCAACTTTGGTGATGACGGACACGTGGCCTTAGGCACGAGTTAGGGTTTTCTAAATTCCCCCAAAATAAAATATTTAGGTGGCGACTCTGTATCTGGCAAAGCAGTCCATGTTTGGCACTTCTTTCTAAAAATCTATTTTTCAAAACGATTTGCCGGATTTGGACTCTTCGGTGATTTATTGATCTTGCATTGCACTTTGTGAGATTAGATTCAGAACCGTGACATCGAGTCCGAACTGTAGTGAGCCCAATGAACAAAACGAGATTTCTCTCGGGACATTCGGGGACGTCTACAGGGAGTAATTTATCAATCCAACTATGCCACTAAATCACAATTTCCCCTAATTCCATAATTCCCAATTCAATTTCATATTTCCATAATTGATTTCATTAATTACACCAATGATCTATTCAATTCAAATTAGGGCATTAATCCCCCCTTTTCTCATATATTGTTCCCAAGGCCAAATCTCACTCACATTACACAAACAACCCCAATTACAAGGGCTCACAAACATATGGAACCCAAAATGGAAAAACCCTCTTTCAAAAATTGCAAACTCAAACCCTAACTTAACCCAAACTTCCCAAAACTCACCATTTACACAAAATGACCAACATTTATGTTAAAACTCATAATAGAGAGTAGATTATCCCTACCTCAAATGGAGAAGCTTAAGGAGATAAAGAAGAGAAACCCAAGATGCTCCAAATCCACACTTTTTAGATCAAAATATAGCCCACGCCAAGCTCTAACTTTGTAACCAAGGGAAAAGGGTAGAAAACCTCTAGAACATGGTTTATTTGTAGAGAGAGAGAGTGGGTAGAGAGAGAGGCTGTCGATTTAGGGTTTTGAAGGAAGAAAGGAGATGAAAAAGTGATAAAAATTCATGCTGCTGTGAACTGATATATGCGATGCTTGCTCAAGTGAAGGAGTGGTTGCTCGAGCGACCAGACATAACAAAAGGGCCTCGCTCGAGTGCAAGAAGATTCGCTCGAGAGAACAATGCAAGGCTTCAGGTCTGTAACCCACCAACACAGACGTATGCCCGAATGCAAGACTGCTCGCTCTAGCGAAGAAGACAGAGCTCGCTCGAGCATATGAAAGCTCGGTCGAGCAAAGAATACCACCCTTCAGGTCAAAAAGAGACGCAGGCGCACGCTCGAGAGCAAGAGTTCTCGCTCTAGCGAAGAGACACACCAGACCAGGCTTGTTCAAGAGCAAGAAAGCTCGCTCGAGAAAAAGCTACGTCTAAAAAGAAACTTGAAGACCCTCAATCCTCGCTCGAGCGTAAGAACTCTCGCTCAAGCGAAAGAACTCTCGCTCGAGCGAATAAGCAAATACCCAAGGCTCGCTCAAGCTCAAAAAGTCTCGCTCGAGCGAAGAAGCAAAATCTTGGGCAGCAACCATTTGTTCCAACTCAGAACCAACCTGTTCCAAACTCACCTAACACATCCCAACACATAAATACAAAGAATCAAAGGATGGAAATGAGATACAGACAATGACATACAACCATGGAACCCGAGTTCGGAACACAACAAAGGTCAGGGTAAAACCTGGATCGCTATATCGGGAGAGAAGCCGAGGATTTTTTGGGTTGGAGGGCCCGGGCCGCACGTGCGGGGCCTTGGGTTGCACGTGCGAGAAGTAGGGGAGAGTGTTGTATGCACATTGCCTAAAAGGCAAGTGTAGAGGTGAGGTGCGGGAGAGGACCGCACATGCGAGGGTGAGAGCCACACGTGTAGGAGGCGCTCCGCACGTGTATGAGAGGGCGCCGCACGTGCGGCCAGGCGCGTTTCTATCTCGTTTTTCGTGTTTTACAGCTATGTATTGGTCTTTTTCTCTTTTTCTTTCATTTTTCTGATTTGGTCTCTCTCTCTATATTATCTTTCTCTTTTTTTCTCTCATCTCTTTCTTCCTAAACTCTCCAAAGCTTTGCATTTTCTTTTGATCCCAAGAATCCATTGGGATTTTGGTGCTAGTTCCTTATACCAAAATGATAAGCAGGTCGAGGGCTTCGTCTTGACCATCGGAGATCATATTCCAGTGAAGTTGATTTTTGAGCTCCTTCTCCTTTTCTCTCTTTAGGTAGGGATTTCCTTGGTCTTTTTCAATACCTCTCTTTAGGTAGGTTTTTATTGCATAAAAACCATGTTGTTATGGAGTTTTTCAAAAAATCATGATAGAGGATCTAAGATTTGCGTGTTGAGATTGAAATGTTATGAGATTGGTTGATGTTGGGTTGATTTGGGGTGTAATTTAACATATTCATGATTAGAGAGAGAGAGAATAAGCCCTAATTTTTGTAATAATGCCCTATAGACAAAAAGGGGTTGAAAGTGTGAAATAATTATGTTATGAATTGAAGAAATGTGATTAATGATTTGGTAATTGATTTAAGATTAAATTCGGTCTAATGATTTGAGCACTAACTTGTGTTGGATTGACTATGTTTAAATATAACGAATTGATAATGTGTTAATTGTCAAAAAGGGGAATTAACCAGGAGATTAGAATATTATTGGGTTACACTACCATTAAATGGAAAATGAGTAAATATTAACTTTGTTAGCCATGATTGAAATCCCTTATCTAAAATAAAGGAAATTGAGTTGGTCATATTTTTCTTGTGAAATGAAATAAATGGATTAAGGCAAAGGGTGGAGAATATCAATGTGGAAGGATAAGATAACTGATTTTTAAATGGAGGAATGAAACACCAACACTGTGTGAATTTCGAAAATTAACTTGAGATTGAATCACAAATATACTTCATTTTACTAATGATGTAATTGGATCTAAAGTTTCATGAGAGTTAGATTTTTATCAGTATGTTAGTTGAATACATTTTGCTTAGAGGTTTTGTCCTTCGTCATCGGTGGAGGATGACATTGTTGTGTTGAGTAGTTGTGTGTATGCATCACACTTGTTGGTTGTACTTTATCATGTTGTGATGGTTGGAAAATGTGTAATGCGCTGAGAATCAGAGGTTCCATTGCCTTCCAGCTAGCGCCTGGAGAATTGGCAGAGGTACCATTCCCTTCCAGCTGGTGTCTAGTAAATTGTCATTTCATTGTGGATAGATGTATCATTGGCTTACCATGCTTCAGGCATGTAGAGTACAGATTATTCATCATTGTTGTCTCAGTTTGACTATATATGTCATGTGCTATGATGATTATGATTTTGTAAGGTTGAATTGTCTTAT